TATTAAAAAATATATTAATTATTTCTTTAACTTTATATTTATTATTAATTACTGAAATATATTTTTGACCGTCAATTTTAATTAAATTATTTGTAAACCATCTATCTTTTCGAGCGTCATTTTCACTTAAAAAAAAAAAAACCCATCGCCTCAAGTTATTCTGCCGTGTCCTTGTGGTATGCACTTATCTGTATTAAAAGGAAAAAGCTTACTTTTAACTTTTAACTTTGTTAAGTTAAAAGGTTTTAATTTATTATTTTATATTGTGATATTTTTATGATCAGAAATTAAAATCTTTAAACTCGACAAGGAGAAAAGTTAAAAATAAGTTTTTATCTGTTAAAAGTTCAATTTCCCTGAGTTAACATCCCAATTCCCCATTCTCCCTTGGTAATTGAATTAATGACTTGGATTAACCTTAAGATATCTATCGATTTATATCCATACATTTTTATCTGTTAAAAGTTCAATTTCCCTGAGTTAACATCCCAATTCCCTATTCTCCCTTGGTAATTGAATTAATGACTTGGATTAACCTTAAGATATCTATCGATTTATATCCATACATATTTTGATGGGGTCTTAATTAAGATTATATATATAGCATGAAAAACTCTTATATGTAAATTATTTTCTTATGACATTCACAATAAATTTTTACATTGAGTTAACAAGTTAAGAAGAAAAATATTTACAGATTAGACTATTAAAAAAGGTTTTTTAAAAAAATTATCTAAAACAAAGACTAATTGAGTTTAGTAAAAATAAAAATAATACCTAAAGAGTTATGACTTACTTGGTAAGTGAGTATATTCCCCTCTTTATTGACCAAAGTTCATTTTTTGAAGAGGTCAATAAAAATGTAATTTCTAATGAATTTCTTAGTATTGAATAACTTGTTTTTAACATAATTGGGAGAGAGATTAGTTTTCAGGTGTGAATAAAACTAGTTTGAAAATACCCTAATTACTAAACTAAATAATAATAATAATAATAATAATAATAATAATAATAATACAAGTGATGAATTTTATAAGATCAAAATTTAAAAACAATGATATAATATGAGTTATATCATTTAAAATATTCAAACTCATACTATTACAGGGCGAGCCAAAAAATTAATCCATAACAAAAAAATTTGAAAACCGATGAAACTATAACCAACGGATAAGATTTGACTGAATTTTAGGTTTATCTGATTAAAAATTGAACTTAACTAATTTTAAACTATTTAAGTTTTAGTTGTTAAGTGTAAAAATCAAAACACCAATAATTAAGGTAAGTATAACTAAAAAATCTGATTTAAAAACCTTTTATATAAAATTTTAAAGGTTTCTAAATTTTTTTTTAAGGTTTTATAACCACATTTCACTAATTTATTTATTTAAGTAATTTTTAGTTTTTTAATGATTGAAATTAATAAAATAATAATTTAAAATTTTAAAAATTTATTGAAAAATATAAAAATAATTTTTTAATTAAAACCATAACTAATCCAAATGATTATTT